AAGAAAGGAAGGACTGAAGGACGAGCTCACATTGTCTCACACACATACACACAGGTCCACCATTTTTTGTTTGCAATTCTGTGGCAGAATCAGATTCAGATTCCAGCTACTTACTGCCTTTATCCATCCCCCAATCTGCCTTAAGTTAAAACTTTTCACAAAGCAGTATTCCAACACCAGAATACTGCACTGTCATGTTTTCTACACTATTTCTTTTCCTTTTTTTTTCTTTTTTCTTTCTTTTTTTTTTTTTTGTTTTTTGACACAGAGTCTCACTCTATTGCCCTGAGTAGAGTACTGTGGCATCAACGTAGCTCACAGAAACCTCAAACTCCTGGTTCTATCCTCCTGGCTCAGCCTCCCAAGTAGCTGTGACTACAGGCACCAGCTACAATGCCTGGCTAGTTTTTCTATTTTTAGTAGAAATGGGGTCTCGCTCTTCCTTAAGTTGGTCTCAAACTCCTGAGCTCAAGCGATCCTCCCACCTCAGCCTTCCAGAGTACAGGATTACTGGGTTAGGGGTTAGGGTGAGCTACTGGGCACTGCTATTCCTTTAACTTTAAATGCTAATTGTTCCACCAGCTGACCTTACCACTTCTCACTGAGTCATGATGTGCAGTTGGAAGAACATTAATGACAGTGCTGAGTGATGGCTTTGACCCTCTCCTAAGCTCCTTCAGCACCCTAGGACCACCTTCCCAAATGAAGTAAAAACAGACTTGGCCTCAAGACTCATCCCCTTGCCCCTCACCTATCTAACCACCTTGCAGCCCTGAGCTATTCAGAGCAGTTTCTGAAAGGCATATACAAGCCCACCCTTTCTTTAAAAACAGCAGTGGTAGGCCAGGCCCTGTGGCTTACACCTGTAATCCTAGCACCCTGAGAGGCTGAGATGGGTGGATCGCTTGAGCTCAGGAGTTTGATACCAACCTGAGCAAGAGCAAAACCTCATCTCTACTAAAAATAGAAAAACAAGCCGGGTGCAGTAGCAGGCACCTGTAGTCCCAGCTACTGGGGAGGCTGAGGCAGGAGGATTGCTTGAGCCCAGGAGTTTGACATTGCTGTAAGCTATGATGCCACAGCACACTACCCAGGGCCACAGAGTGAGATCTTTCTCAAAAAAATAAAAATAAAAACAGCAGTAGACAAGCTATATGCCACCCTACGCATATGGGCATGGGTACAGCCACCAGACTTGTTTGAACATACACGAATGAGCTCTGCTGACTTGAACACCAAGTTTGTCCCCAGCCTCTTTCTCTTAACATGGGGAATGTCCTTGAACAAATGACTGCCTTCAGATGGCCTGAGTTCAGATCTTGGCTTCACTTCTTTACTGGCTTTAGCCTGTGCCTCAGTTTCCTCATGTGGAAAATGGGGATAAGAGGAGAGCCCACCTCCCAGGGCTGTGGGGGGATAAGTTGAGTAAATGTAAAATGCATGGAACAGCACCTAGCACAGAATAAGTGCATTTGGGGGTCAATAATCAAGTCACCCACTGAGCAACACTGAGGTTGTCTTGAGGGTACAGCCAGTGTAGCTGAGGAACTCGTGTATAAGTCTGTGCATAGGTGTGAGGGTGTATGTAAGATTCGTTCCTAGGAGTAATGCTCCTGTGCACCTGTTGTGAATCAACTCTGGGTACAAAGGAAATGGCACTGGACAAAATTGGGCCCCAAATCCCTGCCTGCAAGGAACTCAGTTTCTACTGGAAAGGCAGACAATAAATGGGAATTTTCAGATGGGGTGAGGCTGTCTAAAGATTCGAAAGGGCCCTGGTAAGGTCTCCCAGAGTGGATGTGGTTGTAAACAGGCCAGGGAGACCTCCCTGAGAAGGTGCCCCCTGAGAAAGCTGTGAGGGAGATGAAGGGAGTGACTCATGGGCATGGCTGGTGAAAGGCAGAGGGAACAGTTCATGCAAGGGTCCTGGAGTAGGACTGAGCCTGGTGTGTTTATGGAACATTGGGGAGGCCACTGTGGCTGAGGTGTGGGAGGTGAGGCAGAGAGGGAACAAGGGGCAGATTCCGCAGCACTCTTTGTGAGAGCTTTGCTCTCACTGGGTGAACCAGGAGCCAGGGGAGGGACCTGAGTTGACCAAGGTACTAACCACTGCCACCTGTTAGCCTCTTGGGGCACAGGCTGTAGAAGCCAAGGGCTGAGTCTGGAAACCCAGGAAATTAGTGGCTGGACCCAGTAGTGGTAGGGGAGGGAGTTAGAAGTAGTTGGATTGTGAATACATTTTTAAGGTGGAGCCACCAGAATTTTGCGGCAAGATTGGATGAAGGCATGAAAACTGAGTTCCGGGCTCGGCGCCTATAGCTCACCCGGCTAAGGCGCCAGCCACGTACACCTAAGGTGGCGGGTTCGAATCCCCAGCCCGGACCCGCCAAACAACAATGACG